CAGAACGGCCCCTCGTTCGGTAGACAGAAACAACCGAACGAGGGGATTTATGCGAACCCTACCTGATCTCTGTAGCCTTAGCCTTTCGTGCAATTTATTCCCTTATACTGTGACCGACCGCAAGGGTCTTTTTATTACCTCCACGAATTTCCCGAACCCCTGGTCCGATCTGGGTGATTTTTGGATATGTTGCTCACCCAGATCAGGGCTACCAGGGGATGTGCCATTTAAAGGGGTACCCCTAGGTTTAGGGGTACATCCAGAAACTGGGCGAATTTGTGCACAGTATAAGGGGATTATGAGTCAGGCTGAGGGGAGGAGATGTGTGGGAGGGTACTAGTACCGAATTGGATACTGTATTAATTAATGGAAATCCCTCCCTTGCATGGGAGCATGCTTTATAAGGCCACTGTGAAATAAAAGTTTGAGTTCTGCTCCTGATGCTGTGTGTCGTCCAGTTATTGGGATTGCTGTTGGGATATTGCTATCTTGTTTTACCTGGTGGAAACCTTGCTTTATGGATTTATAATTACTTGTTCCTGAGCATCACTGGGATCTTAAGCGGAGATAACTTGTGGAATACTGGATCTCCGCTACATTGGTTGGCAGCGCTGGGACCCAGACTCACAAAGGAACAAGGATTGATGGAGATTGATTACTCCACACTAAAGAGATCCACACTGAAAGACCTTCTGGAAGCAAGGGGTATATCAGCCAGCAACAAGACGAAAGCAACACTTATTTCAGAGATAATGGCAGAATACCGAACAGAAGAGGATTCGGTCACTGAACAGAGGGAAGCAAGAGAGGGAACAGAGCAAGAAGAGTTCCAAAAACAGCTCCAATTTGGACTGTCATTTTATGGGGAGAACCCACCGATGGAAATAATCTCCAAGACAATGACGGAGGTCGAGGAATTTATAATGCGGCAAAGAGGACCACAAACACCAGAGAGAAACACAGTGGTGTCCACAATACAAGAGGGTAAGACAAAAATTCCTTACCAGGCATTTAAAATGTATGTAGAAGCCGAAGAGGATATAGATGCATTCCTCCAGGACTTTGAGAGACTGTGTATGCTGCATAAAATAAATAGGGAGTATTGGGTCCCCATCTTGGCAGGACGGTTGACAGGGAGAGCTGCTGAAGCCTACCGTACCATACCAGATACGGAAATCAGAAACTATAGCCGGGTAAAAGAAGTCATTTTGGACCGATATGCTATTACCCCAGAAGCGTACCGGAGGCGCTTTAGAGAATTGAAAAAGGCAGACAAAGATTTGCATGCAGAATGGGCCTGCCGACTCGCTTCTGCGTGGACTACAGGAGATTGAACGAGAAAACCATGTCTGATGCCTATCCCATGCCCCAGATAGATGAACTACTAGACAGGATGGCCAGGGGCCAATACCTCACTACTATTGACTTATGTAAGGGGTATTGGCAAATTCCCCTGGCACCAGATGCCATCCCCAAGTCAGCCTTTGTCACCCCATTTGGCTTGTACCAGTTTAAGATCATGCCATTTGGGATGAAAAACGCCACAGCTACTTTCCAGAGGATGGTGGACCGACTCCTGGATGGGTTCCAGGACTATACCTGTGCCTTCCTAGACGATATTGCCATTTTTAGCAATACGTGGCAGGAACACTTGGCCCATACAGGAGCGGTCCTTGACAGGATTAGGGAGGCTGGTTTGACATTGAAACTGGCCAAGTGCAGTATAGGGATGGCCGAGGTGCAATACCTGGGGTGTGGCAAGCAAAAGCCCGAACCAGCCTGTGACGAGACCAATCTCGCCACATTCCATTGGAGAAGCCTGGTTGCTCGCCTGTTGCCTTTGGACTATGGCCCCATGTTAAAAGCCTTCTTTTCCCCTGCAGAAAAGGCTTATTTAACCGGATGCCTGTTCATTCGGTAGTTTAAACCGTATGAACTGCATTACCCCAGATAGCCATCCCGTGGAGTCTATTCGGATGGAGAACAGACTTTGTGAACACTTTAAGTCCACGGCGATTGGACTGTGTGCATAGGATCTGAGCGCTATTCGGTACTTTTGTGCGCTCAGATCTAAGCTATCTGGGGATAGGTAGAATGTATATGTTTTGTGCAACAGTTGTAACTTTATACATTTTTATGTCTTTTACTGCCATGTGGTTAATGGAGTTTTGCCTCTGTGCTGGGAGATAATTGGATTACTTCCCAATTATCTCCAGGACAGAGGGAGGGAAGTTAGGATGCATTGTGGGGAGGTTTTACCTCTGTGTGTCTGTCATTGGTTCATGTCTGTCCTTTGTCACAGTCTCCCATTTGGTCCCCTAGGGCAGTGTCTACCAGGTGGGTGACCTGCATAAATACTGGGCAGGTAGCTCTCATTAAACAGATCACTGCTTGACCCTCAACACGGAGCTTTGTCTGTTCTTTGGGGGGGATTTACTGTATGCTGATAGAGACTGATTGCCAGGAGTGTAAGCCGCTTGGGTGCTTTTCCTGTTCGTCTGCTAGCAGCTATTCGTGAGGTTCCAGTTTGGGAGTTTGGAGCATTCCCTTGTATGCAGTTCGGGAGGTTGGAGCATTCCCTTGTATGCAGTTCGGGAGTTTGGAGCATTCCCTTGTATGCAATTCGAGAGTTTGAAGCATTCCCTTGTATTCAGTTCGGGAGTTTGGTGTTCTGCAGTAGCTGTGCCTGTGCATCTGAAAATTGGAATATCGCCTAAACGGTTTTTAACCTCTTGGGTGCAAACGGTCCGTTACACAGCCAAAGTAGAGGCCGTGGCACAGTGGCCCACCCCTAGGACTATGTCACAAGTTTTAGCATTTCTAAGGACAGCCGGGTATTATAGAAAGTTTGTCCCCAATTATAGTGCCCTGGCCAAACCTCTCACCGACCTGACCTGGAAAAATCTGCCCCGCCAGGTGACCTGGACCCTGGAGTGTGAACAGGCATTCCAACATCTGAAAAATGCACTGATAAATGCCCCTGTCTTGGCAGCTCCCAATCCAACTAAACGTTTTCTTGTTCACACAGACGCTTCCCAATTATCTCCAGGACCGAGGGAGGGAAGTTAGGATGCATTGTGGGGAGGTTTTACCTCTGTGTGTCTGTCATTGGTTCATGTCTGTCCTTTGTCACAGTCTCCCATTTGGTCCCCTAGGGGAGTGTCCACCAGGTGGGCGACCTGCATAAATACTAGGCAGGTAGCCCTAATTAAACAGATCACTGCTTGACCCTGAACACGGAGCTTTGTCTCGTCTTTGGGGGGGATTTACTGTATGCTGTTAGAGACTGATTGCCAGGAGTGTAAGCCGCTTGGGTACTTTTCCTGTTCGTCTGCTAGCAGCTATTCGTGAGGTTCCAGTTCAGGAGTTTGGAGCATTCACTTGTATGCAGTTCAGGAGGTTGGAGCATTCCCTTGTATGCAGTTCGGGAGTTTGGAGCATTCCCTTGTATGCAGTTCGGGAGTTTGAAGCATTCCCTTGTATGCAGTTCGGGAGTTTGAAGCATTCCCTTGTATGCAGTTCGGGAGTTTGGTGTTCTGCAGTAGCTGTGCCTGTGCATCTGAAAAGGGGAATATCGTCTAAACGGTTTTTAACCTCTTGGGTGCAAAACCCTGCCCTGGCCAAACCCCTCACCGACCTGACCCGAAAGAATCTGCCCCACCAGGTGACCTGGACCCCGGAGTGTGCACAGGCATTCCAACATCTGAAAAATGCACTGATAAATGCCCCTGTCTTGGCAGCTCCCAATCCAACTAAACGTTTTCTTGTTCACACAGACGCTTCTATGTTTGGATTGGGGGCAGTACTGAGCCAAGTCGGGGCCGATGGCAGAGAACATCCCGTGGCTTACATCATTCGCAAGTTACTACCCCGCGAAGTAAGCTACGCTGCCATCGAGAAAAATGCCTGGCTGTGGTGTGGGCCCTAAAGAAACTGCAGCCGTATTTGTATGGACAGCCCTTTTCATTCGTTGGTATGGCCGAACCGGGTGGCAGGGGACAATGCCAGGCTGCTGCGCCGGAGCTTGGCGCTGCAGCCCTTTGACTTTAATATCCAATACCGCCCGGGTAAACAGAATGGGAATGCTGACGGGTTGTCAAGACAAACTGACCTGGAGAAGTGATCCGTGAGCCCCCGGACATCCCCAAGCCGATCCGTGCTGGATCAGACTGTGTATGCCGGCTTGTGGGCAAGGGGGAGCAGTGTAGCGGATGGCACTGGGCTGTCCTGAAAATTGCATATGTGTAACTGTATTCGTGTAAATTGCAGGTTTATATGTGTCTAAATAACGTGTATTCGTCTGATTGTTCGGTAGAATCATTCGAACAAACTAAGGGAATGAAACTACCGAACAGTCAGACCTCCCCTGTGTGAAGTGTGCCTTCAATTACCCATTGCAACAATGTTGCGAATGGGTAATTAACAAGCTGTGCAGTAGGTCCTTTGTTCTCGGAGTGGCCGCCATTCGGGAAACCAACACGTGGCGGCGGCCATTTTAAAACTCCCGAACAGCGGTGTTTTCCCGTCGAGTGTCTGGAACCCAAATCGGACACTCGACTAGGCGAACACCGCTGAGACCTCCACCAGCCTGGTCCGTTCGGTTCCAAACTACCGAACGGCCCCTCGTTCGGTAGACAGAAACAACCGAACGAGGGGATTTATGCGAACCCTACCTGATCTCTGTAGCCTTAGCCTTTCGTGCAATTTATTCCCTTATACTTTTTATTACCTCCACGAATTTCCCGAACCCCTGGTCCGATCTGGGTGATTTTTGGATATGTTGCTCACCCAGATCAGGGCTACCAGGGGATGTGCCATTTAAAGGGGTATCCCTAGGTTTAGGGGTACATCCAGAAAATGGGGGAATTTGTGTACAGTATAAGGGGATTATGAGTCAGGCTGAGGGGAGGAGATGTGTGGGAGGGTACTAGTATTGGGATTGCTGTTGGGATATTGCTATCTTGTTTTACCTGCTGGAAACCTTGCATTATGGATTTATAACTACTTGTTCCTGAGCCTCACTGGGATCTTAAGCGGAGATAACTTGTGGAATACTGGATCTCCGCTACACTGGCATTGTCAGGTCACATCGAGGACTGAGTTTGGTGTCCCCAGGGGTTACGTTGCTGCATCAGACACCAGCGGTTCTTCTGGGGAGCGCAGAGTGGCTCCGGGGCATGGATCTAGGTGCAGGTCAGCCAGAAAGCGGAGTAGGAGTCCCAGGAGTCCCTTTGAGGACTTATGATGGCTGTCAGGGCCAGGATCGGGGGCAGGACACCAGGAGGAGATCACGGCGTGCCTGGGGCAGAAGGGTAGAGACAGTACAACTGGCCCAGGCTTTCTTCTTCTTGTTCCAGGTCAGACATTCTGGATATTCCTGGCATTGGGTGGATTCACCGGTTGATGTGAGAAGAGGTGTGGCGGAGCAGTCCGGTTCGGTGGGACCTCAAGGAGCAGCCTTGAGGCCGTTGCCGACGGAGGGCTTGGTTGGTGTGTCAAACCCTACTGCATCTTCACTTGCCTTGTTACAATCCATTCAGCACCTAATTGAGGCTTGGGACAAGGGGGTACACGTAGGTAAAATGCGGGGCAGGTGTGGGCTCCGGTGGTGGTGCCCCCTGCAGGGTGTCGCAGTGCGGGGGGTCGTCTTTGGGGGGCGGCGGTGGTGGATACGGTGAGTGAGAGGGTGCAGTTGGCGGGGTGCATGTTGGATGCGAGGCGCCAGAACGTGTATGTTTCGTTTGCGGCCCCCCTGGGAGTGCACCTCAAACAGGACATGAAAGACAGGATCTGGAAGGGTGAGTTCGTAGAAGTTTTCGTGCTCATTCTTTGGAGGAAAACATTGAACTTAAAAAGGAGGAGAAGAAGGATGCCAAAAAGGAGGAGGAGGAGAAGCGGAAGAGGTATTGTCTAAAATCCCTAAGTCATTCAGGAACTGGCTACAGGCATTTTGTATACTGGTGAGTGTGATCGGCGAGAAGTCCCTGGGGACCTGCTCCTCCTTGTTCTGCTACCTGGATGGGATCTGGGAACCTTACCGTACGTATGGGGGAATGGCATGGTGGAAATACGATGAGCGGTCCCGCCAGAGGTTGGCAGCTAATCAAGGGATGAGGTGGGATCAGATGGATCTCCCACTGTAAATAAAGCTTATGATGGCTCAGGGGGTCCCCCTTTTAGCAAGCGGCCGGTGCAGGGGGTCAGTCCCCTGCGTCGACCTCTCATAAAGAAGGGTTTTGCTGGCTCTTTAACGAAGGGCAGTGCAGATGGTGCGCTGCCTTCAAGTACAAGCATGAGTGTTCTGGATGTTGGGGCTCTTGTTATTATTAATATTATGAATATAATAAATTAAAGCTATGGTCATATTGACCCATACCTAAGAGTGTCAGTTTTTTATTAAGGGTGGGTTGGTATAAGGTAGTAGATAGCTCCTCCTGCCCATATGGCGACAATGCACCAGTCATGTGAGGCAGTGAGCATTGAAACCAGTGAAACCAGCAGACGCATTGCATTGGTGACTCCTTCCCGTTTACACCACTCTTTGGAACAGAACAGATCTTTGTTATACTTTTAAAGGTGTACACTGAGTGCACCATGCGAGAGACCACCGTTCTCTTATCTGTCTATCTATCTACATATCTATTTGTCTTTCATTTTATATATCTTCCTAATTTATGCCTCGTATTGACTGTAATGTCACTGCTTGATTCCTTGTATATTTGGCGTGTTACACATCCTGTCAGTGTTAAATAAAGAATTATAAAAAAAGTGCCAGTTCATTACTTGATATTTCTGCTCATTTGAGAGAGTTCTTTGCACACATGGACAGCTGTTTTGTTGGTTGTTATAGTTGTGTGCCAGCACAACAAGTTGTATGAAGTAGTTTATGAAAACCACAAACTACAATGTCTGTAAAAACATGTTCTCTATACTATCTTACTATACATCTTCCATAAAGACTTCTCAGTAACTGTTCCCATACTGAACTCTTTCATATTAAAGGAGATACAGAACTCAAGTGAAAAATATACCTCCCCTACTTCTACATATCTCGCACCAATCATCAGAAAATCTCCTGCGTTTGTTGCAGTTTGTATGCCATTCCCCTGACTAAGCTCCTACTGCAGTGTCTTTGACATGACTTGTGCAGTTTGCTATCAGAGCCATGTCTCTCACACCGTCACTCCAGGACACTGGCAGAAACGTCTGTTTGAGGGAGAAATCTGGGATATCTGTGACATGGAATGTTAGAAAATCATGTTAATGATTTCCTGGCCATGGAGGAGGAAGATGCTAAAATAAATAAATAAACCTCCCGGCCATTAGAAACCTCATTATATATCATTTTAGTGATCTGTCTGCTACTGGTAATTTTAAAAAAGACTGCTGGAATGCCTTCAGCTGCATTTTTCTGATATGTGCTGCCATTCTAAAGTCTTGCCCGAAGGTCATAATACCTCAACTCCCAACTTGGAGATTTGATGTAATAGGCTTTGTCTCCCCAACCTGATGAACAATTTGGAGATAAAATATAGACAAGTTCCTTAGAGAGTAATATAGGACCTCTCAATATGTTCAAGACCTAGATTTATATAAAACATACATATTTCCACATGAGCAAAGGATTCTGGTTATGAGAATGGTTTGGTGACAAATATGACAAGATTACTGCACTGATAAACATCTAGGATTATTTTAGCATCAATCACTTTCCTGTAAATTATACAACTAAATAAAATACCTTTTTATTAATTTATTTTTTATTTTATTTTAAAATTTATATTAAAATTAGCAATTGACTTTTCAATCCAGTTCAGCCCAGGCATAACATGGGCACGTATTGCATAAAAGGAGAAGAAACAAACTATTTATTAGAGTGTTATGAGAATTTTAAGGAGTTAAATACATGGTACAATTTAATAAAGTGTTTTAAAAGTAAATAAAACTTGGTCACTCAGCGCTGATCCACTTGCTGCTACTGTTTTAAAAGTAGTCTGAAAAGTTTCACGCTCTTTTTACATTCCAACAGTAGTATGCGCACAAACTTAGATTACTATGCAAATGTTCTGTGAGATTCACTTTCTGTGCAAAAATAAAAGAGGTATAAAATAACAAAATAAAATACAACAGTTTGGAGTGAAAAAAAAGACTTATACAATAAAAAAGGGATGTGCAAAACAAGACAGAAAAGTGACAGAAGGTGGAAAACACTTTCAGAACTGATAATACACTCCAGAAAAAGATTCCTGCGAAGGAGCAGATTATTCAGCAGCATTTATTCCAATGACTGACAAGTGCAAAGGCTGTTCGTTTTTCTTTTTTGTAAATGACAGCAAAATCCAGAGTTTATAATTATGATTGACAGGGAGCCAAGATGGATCAAGGTAAGGTGGATAAATGAAACATATTCTAAACCTCACAAGGACATGTGTTTTAAAGGAACATATAAAGTATACAAAGCTGTAAATATTACTCTATAGTGTCCTACTCCCTAGCCCTAAACAGGTCTTCAACCAGAGCAAAATAGTTGTACTCAAAATATTTCAGCACCAAAATTCCCTCTGTGCTGCTTACCTTCCTCTTCCTCCTCTGCGAGGATCCAATATGAGGAGCATTGTGTACCTAATACATATGCAAGGCGAGTGCAATGTGCACATTCAAAATTTCTCATAGGAAACCATTTTTTTCTTGGTCTGTGCCTCGAAAGTGCCTCATACTGACAGCCACTAGAGGAGGAGCTAACCCTGCAATGTAAACATTACAGTTTCTCAAAAAAAATGTGAGCAAGGTAAAAGGTGAGTATACACTTACGGCCACGTGATGAGTCTCGCTAAACAGGGGCCCGGTCGAGCACTGCGGCCCTTTAAGATCGTGACCCGGCCCCTTTCCCATCCGATCACTTCCTTCCAGTTTAAATAGAAAGCCTCACAGGAGGGAGGAGGCAGCACAGGCAGCAGTGGCGGGGCACATTGGTTGTCCTTCACAAGACCCCGTATTGACTTGTTTACCCCTCTGCGGCAGCGCTAGGAGGACATGTTATCACAACTTGCCACTTCCTCCATGCGCTCTATGGAAGCCACACAGGAGGGATAGCAGGCCTTTTTCCTACTTGCACTACACATGGATGCTAGCTGCCGCAAGGATATGAGAGGGTAGAGAAGGGCACTGGCTGACCAAGTGTTGATCAGAGTGGCATGTCAGAAGCTGCATGTGAAGGTGGGACTGTGTGGGTCACTGTGTGTGTGTGGGTCACTGTGCATGTGTGTGGCTCACTGTGCATGTGTGTGGGTCACTGTGTATGTCAGGGGCGTATCTAGAGCTTTTGGAGCCTGGGGCGGATCCTATATTTTACACCCCCCTCCACCCAACCCAACTTTAAAATGTAAAAAACACCTACAAGATATTTTTTGTGTATTTAGCACTCAGCAGTGTTTGTGTATTTGAACGTAAGAATGTTTTAGTTTGGAGAATGTGTGAGTGACTGTAGGGGTGTGTTTTTATGTAGTGTTGGCATTTGAATGCAGGCGTGCGTTTGTGTGTAGTGTGGTCTTTGAATACAGTGGTATGTTTATATATAATGGTGGTGTTTTAATACAGAGGTGTGTTTGTACTTAGTGTTGGCGTTTGAATGTAGGGGTGTATTTGTGTGTAGTGTTTGCATGATGCTGAGATGTAGGCAGATATACACATGCACACACACACACACACACTGACACACCTTTAGATACATAGACACACAGATGCACACTGACAGACAGATATACAGACACACACAGCTCCACAGACACACAGCAACACACTCTGACACACAGGTACACACATACAGACACACACAGAAAAAAATTCACACTTGCAGCTGCACATACACATACAGACACATACACACAGATATACACACATACAGATACACAGAAACACAGATACACACACTTACAGATACAGACATACAAAGATACACACTTACAGATACACAGACACACAGGTACACACATTCAGATACAGAGACACTGTCACACATAGATACAAACACTGACACCTACAGATACTCAGACACACAGATACAGACACACATACAATGCGTGTGTTTGTATAGTAGATGCAAAGTGTGAGCGCCTGTGTTTATAGTGGATGAAAAGTGTGTGTGTATAGTAGATGCAGAATGTGTGTGTATAGCGTATACAGTGTGTGTAGCGGAATCCCTATATGTAG